CTCACTGCGGAAAGAACCTTTCGTTCCCGATTGGTACCAATGAATCATAGGACTTATGGTGATAAGAGTGTCACGGGATTAGTATCATTTTTCCGACTTCGGAAAATGCTTCACTCGAAGTTGAATGGTTACAAATTTTTGGAAATCGGTGAACGCGAACCGAATCGACGAAACTCGTACACTTCATTCGGATAAGATTAATTAAGAGGACACGTGGGTGATTCGAACGAGAAGTTATTTGTAACAAGAGCGACTGGGTGAAATTTAAAGCAATGAGAACAGTGAAAGAATTTATAAGGACATCTATGTATTACTTTCTACCGATCGGAAATGTTTGAGAAGAAAAAGTATTTCTATTCGACTCATGTTTGTTGCGATTGACGAAGGCGATGTTTATTTTGCATAAATATCTGCGGTCTAGTCGTTAACACTATGCCTAACGCGATAATTAAAATTACCGTTTCCTTAATTTGCAATTCTGCAAACATCCACACAGAGACTTTTTCTTGGAAAATGCTTGAATGAGTAATAATACTTGCTCCAATCGTGTAATTTATTCAAGCATTATCCATGAAAGAGTCTCTAAAGTTTGCAGAATTGCGAAATAAGAAGACGGTCATTTTGAGACCGCTGTAGGTATTAATATAATATTTTAGTAATATCATTAGTGGTATTATTATTATTTAGTAATATTGCTAAGGTATTAATATAAGTTACTAAGTAAGTTACTAAGTATTAATATAATATTTAGTATTAATATAATAATAATATTAATATTATAATAGAATAATATAGAATTTGAGCAAGGTCTCTATATAACTTCTCGTATCAAGTAGTAAGTATTAAGTGCAAGTATAATATACGTCGCATTAAGTGTATCCTATAAGTAGTAAAAATAAAGTATTATAAAAATAATATATATATATTAGAAATATATTATAATAGTATTAGCAACAAAGTATTCGAGTTTCGTCGATCTCGCTCGTGTTTACCGATTCTGAAAATTTAGCGAGTGGGGGGTGGCCGAATCACGGGACGTGACACAATTAATGAATTGCTTAAAGTGGCAATTTAATGGTCGATTAAATTTTTCCGCGACACTATGCCGGCTCGGGTTTCGCGAACCCCGCGGAATCGAGGCGACCTCGACAGGCTTCCGGCGTTCGGGAAGGATCCATCGATCCTCCCGGCCGATTAGCTTCTCGGTTACTCGAGATTATGCTTCACGGCCGCGGCCACGCTAATCTCCTTCGCGTGCGCGCGATCGACACGCCTAGAAGTGCGATTCCCCAGGGCTCCGACGCTAATTGCAAGACACGGACTTGCTTTCGCAGCTGCGACGAGAGAATCGCATTAGCATACTCATCGACGCTCGCACGCATAATCGCGGCGCGCGATTCATCGCGGGATTAATCGGCGGAACAATTATTTCGATGATGCGGGGGACTCGTTCGCAACGATCACGCTCGCGATGCGTTTTATTGTCTTTCGGAGACGCGTCGTTTCGTAACGATGCACAGATCCGTGGTGAATTTCTATTATGCGGCCTAAAGACTGCCCGTGGCGATCATTATTGTCGATAAACTATGCAACGAGTGTCTTTACGGTGAGACGTCCGTGGAAATTATAAGCTGTCTCGCGGATTTTCCCGGTCGGAGAAGGCGCGTCCTCGATAAATTTTAATGACACTCCATTAAGATCTCTTTACCGTCGAGTATATTGATTAACAGCAACCATAACAGCTCTAAATCGAAGTAATTCGCTGAGCGAAACCGCGGAGCAGAGGGTAGAGACTTTATCGCGGGATCTAATCTATTACTATTCAAGCGAGTTTATTGATAGAAAAATCAACGTTGAAGCGTCAACAGATAATTGCAGGAACGATCATTCCAGTCGGACGTTATCGGAATCTTTATCAGATCATCCCCCGAGCCGAGTAAATATTGTATAATCGAATATAGTCGCAAAGGAAACAGCTTAATACACGCGTCAATTCTTATGAACTCGTGATCGGGGCCTGGGTCTTATCTTCTCTGGCAAATTTTACAATTATTCGTCGCTCGGAAAGGCCTAGCAGCTATCGCGAAACCGAGAGAACGAAGTTCGCTTTGCATACCGCGAACATTGAAGCGTTTTTATACTTTACAACCGTGTAAAGTCTAATTATCATATTCTATGCATACAGAGGCCGTTCAACCGCACCTTGACAGCAATATCGCCGGCATTCATTAATCTACATACTTTGTTAGCAACCGACGAACATTTACACTCTCAAATTAAAACAGTTATCTCGCGCAACTTTTTCTTTTGTGTCGTATCTTTCGCTTACAATTCCACCACGTGCGTCTCGAAGCATCGCAGCATTCTCGCGAAAATCGGCCGACCAGACGATGCACCGCGGATGCATCAAGGAACTCTTGTTCCGCGGCGAGAATCGCACGCGTTGCAGTCTAGAAACGCCGACGACAAAGATAAGATGCGGATGAACGCCGATAAGAAGTTTTACGGCCCGTGTGTTACGCAACGGAATAAAGTTCACCGATAAACCGTATCGCAAAATCGGTTTTATCGAGCCGAAAAATCCGTTTTCCCGACCGACGGATCGCGACGGAAGACGATCGGATCGTTCGCGGATCGTTTTCCGTCGTGCGAGCGGAGCGAAGAAGAACGGGCGAATCGTGGAATATACACGTCAGGGTCGCGGGAAATTTGCATCGCACTTATGCGTGTCGCGTTCTATGCAAATCGCGCGGGCAGCCTGCGACGTGTCACGCTGCTCGATTTCTGCTCCGCTTGTCGCTAATCAAAATGGTCTGCCGTTATAATTGAACCGACCCGACGGCCTCTGGCCGAATTCCGATCTTTCGGAAATTAGAACGAGAAGGGAATCTCTCCTATCGATCCGCAAATCCGTGGAAACGGGGAACACCCTTCGCGATCCGGGTACAGTAATGTCTCCCTTACCGACGTTCAGATTCTCCACAAAAAAGGACAATTTGGGATTAGGAGATACGATCGTCCGAGCATTGCGGCTCGTTTTTTATAATTGTTGAAAATTTATAACTATAAAAACGAGCCAAAATGGTTCGAATAATCGTATCTCCTCTTCCCAAATTGCCCAGTTTTGTGGACAATCTGGGCGTCAATTGGAGAGACATTACTGTAATTCCGACATTTAAATCTGTAAAAACGTGGGAACAGTTTGTTTCCCGAATGAAAAATTGAACAGCCGTGTGCTATTAATTCCCGTTGTTGCCGGTTCTTTGTTTGGCATAGTTCTAGCGTTAAAACGTGCCCCGACCATTGCCGGAGTAACTTTCCCCAAGGCCGGCGATTTGTTAAATCCATAACTCGCTATCTATGGTAAAAATACGGTGAATCATGGCAGCAACGGGAGGCACCGCGTATTTACGTTCATTATCTGTGCACCGCGTTTCAACAACCTTAAAAGTCTACTGGACGGCGAGCTTGTACACATCGGTAGCAGATAATTACCGTCGTAACCATGATTATTCTTCCGTGGTAATCTTGTATGCTCTCGCGTTCGGTACTTAAGCATCGCCAGGAGGTCTAACATGGTCAGTGAATTACCGGTGATGTCTATTTCATTGGTGAAGTTTTGTCGGAGATAAATCCTCCCTGATTTTCCTTCAGCTTGTAAACAAAAAATGGAAAATTTGGGACGAGGAGATACGATTGTAAGAACCTCGCGACTCGTTTTTATAGTTCCGGATTTTCAGTAATTGTAAGCACAACGTTCAAGGCTCGAATGATCGTATCACCTCTTCCCAAATTGTCCATTTCTGTTTAAAAGCTGAGGATCGATTAGGGAGAATTTGGAATGAGGAGGTGCGATTATAAGAACCTCGCGACTCATTTTTATAGTTCCGGATTTTCAACAATTATAAGTACGACGTGCAAGGCTCGAATGATCGTATCCCCTCTTCCCAAATTGTCCATTTTTGTTTACAAGCTGAGGATCGATTAGGGAGAATTTACTGTACAACTTCGCTCGTGTACCATGTTTTTGTACGTACAGCGAGTCGCATGTTTATTCGCGTACCTCATAAACAACATCGGTTACTAACACTTGCTACCCGTCGACGTTGTTTACTTATTTCTTTCAGCATTGTGAGAATCTCTGATACAATTAAATTAATATATATATATATTATATAATAATATAATATGTTAATTGATATATAGTTTAACCAGCGTCAACAATCAACCACTAAAATTCCCTCGAAGTCAAAGCAATTTAATGAATCATACCGAAACTAGAAAGTTAAAATTGATCGCAATGGATGACATTGGAACTCTTTCGCATCCGAAACATCCTAGTCAAATTCGGTTTGTTCGAATACATTACGATTGAAAATGAATTCTCAAAATTGGTCAAAAATTAGTGTCACCCATATGTCACCTGCCGAACCGGTAGAAATGAAATGATCGCTATCACATTTTGTATCCAAAAATTGCTGACATTGCAAAGACTCTTTCGCTGGAAATGATCGAACACAAATTCTTAATCCATAATTCATTGCGATACGAATTCTGGACGGTCTAAATGAATTCAGCCTTATCATTCTCACAGAGCAACGCGCATTAGTCACTTTCAACGTTACCATTAGACTGTTAAAACGTTAAAATCAAACTCTTCCGTCTCCACGGCCATCGATATTCTTCAGAAAATTCCGCCGAAAACCCCGCAGTCACCGAATAAATATTATCCAACAAATTCTGCAAACACATTCAACTTTCCCACACCACCTACGCGTCTGCCTTAAGATATCAATGCCAGAGTCACCAATGCCTCCACTGTAACCTCGGCGAAAATAAATCAACATTCGATCAAGGGCTCCCCAGAAGCTCCCGTAAAACCGATAAAACCCCGCAAGATCGCTATCAATTTTCGCCTATACAAGATCTCAATATAATAACAAGATCTTGAAAAAGCCAAAAAACAAACAAAAACAAACAAGAAAACCGAAAAAGCGTACTTGCTGGCCATGTCGCCGTCCTCCAACGTCCAGTCCGGGTCTGCCGAGAATCTTGCTGCGAGTGAACGGTTTTCCTCGAAACCTGTCTCAGACGGTGCACATGGTTATCCCGAAGATCGTCCTCGAAAAAAGGAAGAACGCGGTTCTCGGAGTATGTGTCGCGGGAGCCGAGAGAGAGTGACGCCCGCGCAAAACACGATCGCCCGGAGGAGCCGACTCGATCGCGTCGCGTTGCTCGCGAGCTTTCCACGCGGGTTGGCGAACGTCTAAGCAGCGCGATGAACGCCGATCGACTGTTTACCACCGGCTGACACTGGCGTGTTTGCGATCCGAAGGTCTATCTGGTGTTGCTGGTCACGGACCGTGATCGGTGTCAGTTGATCAGCGGTGGCCGCCGCGCCGGTTCACGGTGCGCTCCGCGAGCGCTGGACAACGGTGCTTCGCGCGCAGCGCGCAAAATCAGCCGACGAGCCGATAACCGAGCAGATAGTCTTCGGATGCCGCGACGATCACCGCCACGATAACCCTTCCTTCCCAGCGAGTGTCTCAGGATCGCCGAATTTCGGCCTCGACCACGGCCAATCGGTGTCGAACCGCTCCGAAAGTTTTCCGTTTCCGCGCGGGATCTTCCAAGCGGAAATTTCGGGGAACGCGGGTCCCGGTGGGCGGCCGACTGGCACCGCCGTCGCTCCGCGATAATCGCGGTTGCGTTAACGATGATCGATGGATTCGTATGATCTCGCTGCCGGATCCGGCGGCCACGTGACGCTCTATCTCGAGTGCACGATAGCGGGCCGATCGGCTGCATTTATTGCCGGAGCCTCGTTACCTCACAATATATGTAAACATTGTGTGAATGCTGTTACGTGGAGGGAGGAAGACCAACGAGCGACGATGCTTCGGCGTTGTTTAGCCGCGGTTAATCAGCTACATATTTAGCGCGCGCGCGCGCGGCTGATTAATGAGCGGAGCCGATCGCGACTGTGGCCGATCTTCCGCGTGCACGCGGAATAATTTTTCCGCGTTTATAATTTACGCGCGATTACTCGGTTAAATGAAAATTCTTTGTCTCGATCGTAAGAAGCGGACGATGAAAATGAATGTCGTTCGTTATTTAATTATCCTAAACTGTGGAAACCAGCGCGTTGATATTCTTAGGGTCGATACACATCTACTTGCTGGGTTATATTATAATATAGGTCGTGCTAGCAGCGTGCACAGTAGATGCGCGAGCATAGTGCAGGCAGAACCGAGATTCGGAGGTTGATGATACTTGTTGAAATTTTAGCCTCGAACGAAAATTAATCTATAGTTTACTTAGTACTAAGATACTAAGATATCGGTTTACATTTTCGTCGGTTCCGTCAGCGGGCAACGACGGTGATGTAAACTGTATTATAGTAGATACCGCGATACATCATCACCGGTACCATTAGATATACATCGTACCCTGACTGTTTGGGGGTTCCAGCGTCACGTATACAATGTGAAACGCGACAAAGAAAACGTCTCTGATTGGTGGACAAGACGAACCCAAAAAGGGTATAAAAGAAGCGTTTTTTCTTGCCGGACTCTCAGTAGAGTTTGGTCGCTCGATCGTTTTCGCCCATATACCTTCTCTCAATAAAGGAATAAAATAAAGTCCTTTTAAGCAAAGAATTAGAATCATATTCATTTTCATTCCATAATCCCAATAATACTGATTAGAAGGCGATATATTTTCGTGCAAAATAAAAATGCTCTGCATATATGAAAATGTTCTATTAATGTTCATAAAATTTTCGAATCTTCCTAGCACTTTAAATTTCAGCTGTACTCAAGCTTGCAATAAATGTTTATAGTCCGCGGTCTGACGAGGGGAATAAATAAAGTCTTGCTTTAATATGAGTATGATTCCTATTAAGGATCGATACACATCTTCGTGCTAGGCTCGGGTCTTGCTAGTAGCGTGCTCGATTGACAGCGTTTAGAGTAAATATGCGAGCATGGTGCGGGCAGGACCGAGATTCGGAGGTCAACTTGATCTTTTCCAGATTTACCAATGCAATTGTGTGAGCTTTTTCTGATTCAAATAATACCAAACATGATATAATTTTTGTACGATAATAATGGTTTTTATGAAAAATATAAATATACTTTTTATATTGATATTAACTAAAATATTTTAGAAAGTTATGCCAAAGTTATGTCAGGGTTATGCCAAAGTTATGCCAAAGTTATGTCAGGGTTATGCCAAAGTTATGCCAAAGTTATGTCAGGGTTATGTCAGGGTTATGCCAAAGTTATGTCGAAAGTTATGTCAGAGTTATGTCAGGGTTATGCCAAAGTTATGCCAAAGTTATGTCGGGGTTATGTCAGGGTTATGCCAAAGTTATGTCGAAAGTTATGTCGAAAGTTATGTCAGAGTTATGTCAGGGTTGTGTCTGATTCATAAATTTGCGACAAAATAACAAATAATTTATTCCATTGTATGAAATACAAATTAAATAAATGCTTATTATACTTAGTATATTATGCTGACGCCTTGAAATTAATGATAGCGCATGTGTAAGATATTACTCTCTAAAATAGGTCGTCTCGAACAATACAGTTGTACTTCTTTCAAAATTGTGGTGACACTGCGCGAATTGAAAGTCGAAAATAATCAGAAAATTCCCCCTCGATCCCATTTGTTCGTCAAACAATAGCAAGCAGTTTCTCTGAAAAGCCGTTGCTTTCTTCAGAATTTAACATTTTATTGAATTATGACCCACAGATGGTCACCGGAAGTCGTGCCACCATCTAGCCTTCGTAGATTCCTTTTTTCGCATGCTTCGTCAAGTCAAAATGATTTCCCGGGTTTATTGCCTGCTACGTTAGAACGGAAGATTGCGCGCTCTGTCCACATCGTGCCAGTTCCGTAATTCCGTCTCGCTTTGTTGTGATTACGGGCGAAGCAAGCCTGGTCCGGGCCTGCCTGCAAGTGTGAACACGTTTGGTCTGCGCCGGGCAGCCTGGCACGCCGCAAGCACGGCACGCGTATTGGGTTGGCAACTAAGTAATTGCCGATTTGTTCAATGAAATAAAAAATTTTTTTTACTTCGAACGAAGTGTTTAATCTGTAATGTATTTTCCATTTTGTTCGATGACCTTTTGCCATCTCTCCGACAACTTGAAAATTCCACGCTCGTAGAAAGTCTGATCCTTTTCGGCCAAAAACTGAGTTAAGTGAGATTTTACAGCGTCGTCGTTATTAAAAGTTTTACCACGAAGGGAGTTGTCCAGGGATCGAAATAAGTAGTGATCCGATGGCGCGAGATCAGGGCTATATGGTGGGTGTAACATCAATTCCCAACCAATATCCATGAATTTTTGCCGAGCGGACAAAGACGTGTGCGGCCTAGCATTGTCCTGCTGGAAAATGACATCTTTACGATTGACCAATTCTGGTCGCTTTTCCT